AGCATGCAGACCTCTGGAAGCGATTGCATCGTGCTGTCCACTTCCGCCGCGAGCTTTTCCGAGTGGACAAATCCCTAGCCGCCAGGTCGAAGAAGAGGGTCAACGCCAGGCTGCTCTCAGCCACCGCAGAATACCTCAACAGGAAGGCCGATTAACTGGTCACGTCGGCGGCGACACTCCACGCCGTGCCAGAGGCGCTGTGCGAACACTCCAAGAATCATATTTGGCTGGCCGTGACCCTCCACACCGCCGCGGCCACTATCTTCGACAAACGCTCCCGCGCGCGGCCACTGCCCCACGCCCCACCAACAAGCCCCTTACACTAACGCAGAACTCGGGCGAATGGAACCCCACCCATGGGCGGAAACGGATGCCGACCCCCTTCTGCGCTGTTGGGTGACGATCGCACATACCCGATTTCATGCTAAGAAGCTCACATGGCGCCTCATGGACTCCCGTCGTCTCTCGACGGGCCGGCAACGCACCCGCCGACGACGATTACAACCCCTTAGGACTCGGAGGGGCCATGGACGCCTCGGAAGACAACGTCCCTCCTCAAAGCCCGCCTCGGGCGCGGCCGTCCCGAGACACCACCCCGCCGCCTATCACGAGCAGGGTTCCCGAACGAACGGGGGGCGAACCGCTCTCATCCCTAGACCCAAAGGTAAACCACCGTGGCATCAGCCACGGCAGGGAGCTTGCCCCACCAAACAACCGCGGGCCACGAGCGGCAACTGACCCGCTGACCCAACGCGCACTGGAGGCCAAAGCAAGATGGGGCGACCACCTCGCCTGCATCACCCCCTGGTGGCTTCCAAACCTCTGCGGCCCTGGCAGAGGCAAGCAAGTGTGGCGCACATACTGCGTCAAGAAAGTCCTCCGCGCTCTCTACACGGCGGCCTCCGGGGGGCTTCACATAGACTTACCATCCTGGGAGGCGGTCGATCTCCAGAGGCGCCACGCGCAGGAAATCCACAAAACAATCGAGGATCGAGGCGACCAAGGCCGCCGCGACTGTCACCAACACATCGCCGCGCTCGCGGGCCACGCCCTAGGCAATGTTATCACGCAGATGAACGACGCACGCCGCGACGTTATGGACGCTCACTGCGACCGCCTTGACCCCCTACAACGCTACCAAGGACGCCTTCAGCCTACTGGCGTTTTCCAGCAACCCGCGGCCCCACCGTTCCCTACAGAACACGACGCACCGCACCCAGAAGCGGCACCCTCGCGTGGCCGCGCTCCGCAACGGCGGGGCAAACGCACGGCCCTCTTCTCTTTCGACGGACACCAACGGTCCAGGCACGCCGACCCCTTTGCTAGCGACGACGGGTCGCCCCCTAGGCCCACCACCTGGCACTGCCTCGGTAAACCATCCGGGCGACGACCTAGACGGAACGGCGCAGCACGGCACACGGTCCTATCGTCGCAAACGCCGCGTGGCCAGCGCAACCGCCGCGGGGGGCACTACAGTGACGCCCCCATGAGCAGCGCCACCAACTCTTGAGCAACGCCCGCAACTCTTCCACAAGCAACGAGCTCAACCGCCCTCTGTCGTGCGACCCCTCAACCACAACCTTGGAAGACGGGGCCTCCTCTGCCCCTGCGGCTCACCGCGTCGTCCCGCCTGCTGGACCAGCTCGCAGCGTGGTGCCCCAGGACCCGCATCCAAGCGCCGCATCCAACTGGGGTGAACTGTCACGCTATGCGGCCCCTTACTGCCGCCACCGCGCGCCACCTTCTCGCACGGGCACCTGCCTGTGGAGTCTGGAAGCGGACGTCTCGCTGCTGGCCACTGACCCCGACCACTTCCAACAACTGACCGGATATGGTGGCATTGGCCCTCCTCCCACCAGTAGCGCGGCACCTCCAGCTTTCCCGCCGTGGTGGATTCTGGCCTGCCTCGCTCTTATGGTCCTCTTTCGCCCTAAGACCCTGGCCGCCTCATGCGCAGCCCGTACTTTCCACCGTTCCCCCCCCCCCTCGGGCTCAAGCCGGATGCTGGAGAATCACAACCGGCGTGCGCAGGGCCTGGCACACCGCTCAGACGGCAGCGCTGGCCCCCCTCCCGTCGCAGGGACAAGCTATGCAGGCCTAGGCTCAATCTGCGGCGAACCGAATGACCCAGCTCGAGCGCCAGCTCGAGCGCCAGTTCGAGCACGTTCAGGCCCTTTCCGACCACGTCCGCCGCACGACGCGACAACACCTCAACGCGCTGCGTGAACTCCACGCCACGGTCCAGCGTCAGGCCTTGCTCACCCCGTCGCAGCCGCCCCACGGTCTACTCGCTCGTGGAGGGTTCCCCTGGCCCCTCCCTTTCTTTTCTTCCCGTGGCCGTCCGCTCAAGACGGGTGTCGATGCCCCCCTTGTAGCCGACAGCACCGGCCAAAATGCTTCGGTGCTGCGCGCTCGCCCGCCGGCCCGTGGACGGAACTCCGCCCAGATTGTCCGATCTCTCTCTCTCTCTCTCTCTTTCTCCCTCTTTCCCTCGCTGCCAAGGTGACGCGGTCCTCCTTGGCCTCTCGTGAAAAATAAATCATCCGCACTTTCCTAAAATTTTCGGCGTCGTCTATCGTGACATCTCCCTGGAAACCCTGGCAGCTCTTGCAGCTTCCGCCCTCGGCGCAGCCCCGCTACCCCCGGCGGTAGCAGCCTCTGCCCTTGGCGCAGCCCAGCTTCCCCCGGCGGTAGGTTTAGTTGTTGCCTGCGCGCGCTAGGCAATTAGTTCTGCTCGTAGCCCGAGCCGTCCTGTGACGCCGCCGGCGCCTCCGCCTGCGGTTGCGACAAAAATCGTGGCGAGGGGAGCCTCCTCCTCCTCCTCCTCCTCCTCCTCCTCCTCCTCCTCCTCCTCCTCCTCCGAGAACCAGGAGGAGGAGGGGAGGAGGAGGAGGAGGAGCAGGAGGAGGAGGAGGAGGAGGAGGAGGCACGAGGAGGGTGGACCGACGACGCCGACGACGGCGGCACGGGGGGGGACGCACGGGACCGCCGCGCGCGCGCGGCCCTGCCCCCCCCCCCCTCGGGAGGCCTCCGGGGCGGCGGGGGGCGCTGGCCGCTCGCTCGGCGGGCCGCCTTCGTCGGGCGGGCGCGCCGGGGGGGGGGGGGGAGCGAGCTGACCCAGGTCGCCCAGCTCCGCGCCCCGCGCCCCGCCATGTCTCTTCGCGCCCTCTCGCCCTAGGGAGCACTGACCCGGGTAACGTCGAAACGAGGTAACCCACCATGGGATCCAGGTGGAGCAACTGCAACGACCAGAACCAAAGCATGCACTGCATGTCTCTGCACCGCGAAACAAACATGCACTGCAATGTGTTGGCAACTAGTTGCGGAAAAACCGCAGACAAGCCCCACAGACGGGGCGACAGGGGGCCCAAAACAACAAGTTGTAGTGCAGCAGCCGAAAATGTGCCCCTGGAGAGGAGCAGCCTCTCCGGCCAAGCCCGCGCCGCGACGCGCGAAGCGTGATGGTGGCGAGCTGGCGAGGAGGAGGGAGGGCTCGAGGGTCTCGGGTGTGTTAAGGAGGGGGGGGAGGGGGTCTCGCCTCCGCATTCGGCCAGCGCTCAGGCCATGTCTGTATCATGACGGCGCGCGCTCGTGTAACTTTGACACGTCTGCGGAGGAGTCATTGCCAAGCTCCTCAGGAGCAGCGCAGATCCATGCTGCAGTGGGAGAGGGGGGATTTCTGGCGCCTTCTTTTGTCTTCCCGTCGGCCCTCGTGGCCACAGCTGGACGCAACTCAGGAAGCAAGCCTGGATGGTGTGCGGGAGGGGTATGGGATCTGGGGACTGCGAGGGACTGTGGAGGTCTTCTACCTCCAGGAGGCGACAAAAAAACGGCTGCATCCTCTTCGCCAACCTGGGACTCTGGAAATCGGAAATCGGTCTACAGTCACACTGCTGCCATAAGGAGCACTGCCTACAGGAACGACGCCTCTTTTCGGCACCAACAGAGCCCGGGTGCACGCGGGGAGCTAGAGGAACAGCCACGGAATGACCGGAGGAACAGCGAGCCCATCCCGAACCCCAAGCCGCCCTTATTTCAGCGTCTTGGTTGTAGGGTCCCAGGGGTATCCAAACACGGCCCGCGAGAGACAAACACTGCACAAGGGAAGAGGTCGAGCGCTCTAGGGCCCGCGTCGTGAAAAGCTTCCAGACGCTGCCGCCTTTTGGTGGCCTCATCGTCTGCTGCATCCGCATTGGAGAAGAGTTCCCAAAGGCCCTCCCACATCACCACGCTCTGTGCACCGCGTACCGCCTGGACTAAAAGAAACGACACCCATTTTCAGTCCCGCCGACTAGCTTGGCTTCGCGCACAGGAGGGTGGCAGAAGGGGGCGGCCTCATAAGACGGCAAAGAGCCCCTCCAAAACCATCACGCCTTCTGAGAAACCGCCTTAGAAGCCCCAGAGCAACTCTAAGAAGGCTCCGACCACCTCAAACGGCCGCCACCTCGTCCCAACCCTTCGTTGCGCGCCGAGGCGCGGCTAACCTTGCAGCGAGAGGCATGGTGTCGAAATCCCTACCCTTGCACGGTTGGGGATCTGTGCACCGTGCCTATCCCTGGAAGGCCGCCGGTGTCCGCAAGCGGGGCGGGGTCGGTGAGCACCCTTCCATTGGGGGACTCCGAGATGGAGGGCATGGCGCAGACCTTCGACATCGTGATTTGTTTGATGTGGGCCCCAGACCTCTCGAACCCTTCCTTGGAGCCGCCTTTTATTCATCTTGAGCTGTTGAGGCCCAAGACGAAGACAGCACCGCATTGAAGTGAAAGACCTTGAGGCTCTGGGGAATAGGAGGAGACATTGGAACGGGGCGGGTTTGGATCGGACCCGTTGAGTTCGGACTGTCACCGTCTAGCGTCTAGCGGGGAAAAGGCCGATGAGGAGGACCTCATCATTCTCATGATGCCCCTCCTATCTCCTCCACACCCACCACCTCCTCCTTCTAATTCCTCCTACCCTCCTCATCTTACTCTGTGATGAAACTGGAGAAGGGAGAGGGGTTTCGCATGCGGAAGAGTATGGGGGATGGGCAAGGAAACGCGGAACTATGCCACCGAATGCTGCTCCCGACTGGATGCTCGAGAACAGAACATCCGACGTTCAAATCACTTCATAAGAGCGGCTCGGACACACCCACCTGTGATGGCGGATGCAAATGATGAGGACAATGAGAAGAAAGATAACGAGGTGGAAGAGCAGTTTCTCATCGTCCTCCACTCTACATTTTGTGTTCAGGTCCAGACTCAACCCGACCGAAAGTCATGCGTCATGACTAAGCAAGACGAGCACGAGCAGAAGCAGAGCAGCCTGAAGCTTGCCCTGGGCGGAAGGCAGTGCTCCCAAACCTGGCGAAGCGCTTACCACTTGCGCTCCCACTGGGCGCCGTTCTCGAACTTGACACTTGCCCCCACCACCGTGCCCTCGGGGAAGGGCGGCTCCACAAGCACACTCGCGCCCCGGACGACGCCGCGCTTTTCGACCTTACCGTTCCTGGTCTTCAGCGGAAATGTGATGGAGCACCTGTCCTGCTTCACCTGGAACATCTCACCGTGCGCATCCGCGAACCACCTGAGCGACGAAAAGAGGTGGGTCTTACGCGAAATTGCATAACGACCTTGCGCGGTGACCGACAGCGTGGCACGCTACAGTGGAAGCGAGAGCGCTTACGCGCGACCTTACGCGCGCAACTTACGCGCGAATGTCGGGGCAATCAAACCAGTTTTTGCTTGCGTCGCTCACCTGTCGCCGCCGAGCTGCGCGCACCCGGTCTTGGCGACGTCCTCCGCAGTCTGCGCCGCCAGCGCGCGCTCGCGCGCCCGCCTGCGAGCGCCCTTTGGGCGGGCCCCATCATAGAGCTCCTCCAGGGCCTGGTCCGAGGCCACGGCGCTGAGGGCCCCGACGGTGACGTCCAAGTACGCCCTGTGGCCGTGGGCGCTCAGCTCCTGAACCTCCGCCGCTTGGGCCCCGGCGCTGACGGCACCAACGGTGACGTCCAGGTATGCCCTGTGGTCGTGGGCGCTCAGCTCCTGGACCTCCGCCGCCTGGGCACCTGCGCTGACGGCCCCGACAGTGACGTCCAGGTACGCCCTCTCCTCCACTTCTGTCTCCGCTGCCGAGTCAACAGCGCGGGCCCTCGGGAGAGCGAGCGCCGTGAGAGCCAGCGCCAAGACGCGCGCCATTCTTCTGCTTATGATGGGCTAGTAGTGTTTGGGGGGCAACTTCTGTGGCAGGTCAGCCCTGCTGTCGGCCTGAGTCAGGACAGACTGGTTACGGGCCCGTTCTCCTCCGCCTCCTGTCTTGCCGCCGTAACCCTTTTCCTTCCATTCCCTGCTCCACCTCCTCCTCCGTCCTCCATCCCATCCTCCCTCCTCCCTCGCTGCGTTCATCTGTCCCTCGCTCTTCGTATTCCACATCCTCCACCACCTCCTCAAAGGTCCAGGACGCCCCAGAAAAGCCAGGAAACCCCCATGCCGCTTTCAGGAAGCACCAAGAGGAGGGGGAGAAATCAACGGGGGGGGCGAAAAAAGCCCCATCAGCGGAGCGGGCGCCCGAATGCCCTCGGTGCAGCGGGAAAAAGGCATCTGAAGGGGCCCTGGGACACACAAATCAATACACACAAATACCCGGATTCCCCATATTTTCCTACATTTTCTGGGTTTTTGTCTTCCCCCCCACTTCCCATATTTTCCCATACTTTCTGAGGAATCGGTGATTAATTGTGTCTGTGGTTTTTCCCCTCCTGAGCATCGACGACGTCGACGTCCTCGGTTCGGAAGTTTCGTTCGTTTCTGGCGCTGGAGGCCCTCGTCGCCACGACCGGACGCGGCCCGGGAACAGAAAGCTGCCAGGAGGAGAGGGACCCCGGAGAAGCCCCAGGGCGAGCTTCGATCGGACTCTCGTGCCCGGCGGAAGAGGAAGAGGCGGAGGGAGAGGAGGAGGAGCTGCCGTAGGGGATTGCACGAGACGTGCAAGGGTACGAGAACGCTACGTTGTGCTACAACACTTGCGCTGGACACGCTGCGAGCAGCTGCAATAGCTCGCTGGGCATCACGCCAATGGAGACTTCTCGCACTCTCTTTGGCATGCCTGGAGGGTGGGGCCACACGCCCCGAGACATGATTCGCAGATCCCGCTCCCCATTCGCAATCCGAGGCTCGCAAATATCAGCCAGTGCCGTGGCCCTGGGACTACTAAAACACCCACGGGTGGAACAGAAGTGCAAACCAAACTGGCCAATCTACAAGATCGTTTGTGACGGGCGCAATGCCTTACCCCCCACGCTAAGACCCGACGACGACGACCACCGACCCTCCGCGATGCACGCAAATCGCTCCTGCGTGCGCGAACTGCCGGGCCTGCATGCTGAGATCGCAAACCATTCGAAGGCCGCGCGCACCGCCGTACAATCACAAAGCCTGCAACGCCACCTCGCACCCACCCTCTCCAATTGGTGCTGCGAAGAAGTAGTCAACTGGGCCTGCCTAGACATCCGCGGAGGATTGGGCTCGCACACGACCTTAATGGGGTCGAGCGTAATACAGTCCAGGTTGGCCCTGACCGCGCGACGTCTCACGAGGTGAGCCACGGCATCAACGCATTCGACCTCTGGCTTGACTGTGGCCTTACGCAAAGCCTCGGCGGCAGCTTCGCAAACGAATGAATCGGCGTATACATGTTCAGCAATCTGCCCCGACTGATGGGAGGTTTCTTCCCCATAAGTTTCATCCTCTTGGTGGCTGTGTACACAACATGAGTTATACAATCACCCTTCTGCTTCACAGCGGCCATGATAATGATAGCCTACCACAGATCGGCATTCTTGCCCACAAAATTCAGAAACCGTCACGCTTGCTAGCCACTCACAAACGGCATACTGTCCGTGTGGTAGCGGAGGCCGCCCGCGGTGGAACGCAGGCTGAGGAGGAAAGCCTGGAGCTCCGACCTCGGGACCGTCTGCTTAGGCTCTGGCAAGCTGGCCACGATGCCTGCCACAGGCCTCGGGGCGGTGTCTACATCCATTGCGAAGGCCTCCATGATCGCGACTCCGACGCCACACTTCCTGCGCCTGGGGTCCAAGCTGAGCTCGCTGCCCGCGCCGTCGCCGAAGACGTCTAGGAAACAATCATCACCGCGCTGCAGGTCGACGTCGCCCCAGTTGCCGGTCTTCTGCTCGAAATTGGCGGCGCCCTCAGGGTACTGGCACCTCGTCCAGCTGGCAGGAGGGAGGCCACGCAGCCAGAGTCACGGCACCGTCTCGTGCCCCTCGATGGCCTTCTCAAGGAGACCCTGCGTGGAGGTGTAGTCCTCGTGCCCAACATTGCACGGGCACGTCCAGACCCTGTGCAGCAGGGCCTCCTTCTGCCCACAACGCGGGCGGAGCTTCGAGTCGGCGAGACCCCGCTCCTTCTGTTTCACGCGCGGCCAGCAGCCGCCCGTCATCACCTGCAGCTGCAAGGCCCAGGTATTGTGGTCGCCCTCACGTTGGAGGCGGACCAAACTGGCGCTGGGCCTGGTAGAGGCCAGGCCCATCTTCCAGCCCAAATCCGGCGTCATGCTGAGCAGCTTTGGTCCACCATGCCCTTTGGATGCTGGCCATCACCTCGTCCAAGAGCTCGGCGTCATCGACCTCAGCGCAGTCGCCCATCCGCCACAGCTCGTCGATGTCCGACTGCCACTCGACGGCCGCTGGCACGTCCCAGCCAGCCGTCACCAGCGTGCAGATGACCGCCGAGATGGCCCCCTTCACTTTGGCCCATCACCCCCTCGCGCCACCCCTGTGTGCGCGCCGCAGAACGTGGAACACAAACGAAGGCAGAATGAGGACAACTCTGGAGAGCCGGCGGGCCTCCAAGCGAACCAGACCGCTCCGAGAGCGTTCCGACCACTCTGGAGCGACGGATCATCACCCTGGGCCCGCCTGACGAAACACCTGGAACCCACGCGCTGGATAGCCAGTATGATTTGTTTGAACTTACGGGGCCCCCAGAAATCCCGACCCTCTTTCCCGAGGACCCGTTTTGTTCGTCCTGAATCGTTTTTGGCGGTCCCGGGGCCTTGTCAAGACCCAACATTGCGACAAAAACTCCACTCGTGCTTTTTCACGACCACGGTCTCCGCTGACGGGCCCGGCCGCGCCAGCTTACTCGGGACGCCGTCTGCCGCCTCCGAGTGGGCCCGCCTCTTTCCCCCCTCCGCGGCCGCCCTGTCCGTCCTCTTCCCCCCTGCCGCATGCTGGCCACTCTGCCAGGTTCCCTCTTCGGTGCCCCCGCCCAGCTCCACCGCTGGTGCCTGCCTCGCCGCCGACGAAACACATTGTCATTGTTCCACGACGCGAGCAGGCCTGGATGCGCGCACAGAGGCCCCGCGTGCCCGGCCGCGCGACGGCCGATCGGCCACACGAAAGAGTGACCCTGTGTAAGTTGGCGGCGCGCAGAAGGGGGTGGGGGGAGGGGGGCAGGCTTCTTAGAAGGTGGCTGCTTATTAGAAGGCGGCGGCCTTACATCTATACATAAGGACCGCGCCTTCTAAGAAGCAGGGGTGCTTCTAAGAAGCCTTCCCCCCTCCCCCTACCCCCCTCTGCGCGTGGCCGAGTAAGAGTGATCCTTGGTGCGCGGCTTTTTGGGACCGCGGGGGGGCCAAAAGCAAGCGCGCAAGCCGCTGCTACCGCTTCCATTTCAGCCACCTGGGGGCCCATCTGCGCCCGCACCGAAGGTCACTCCTGCGAAAGGTCACTCTTACGCCTAGTCGAGGCCGAGCGCGGGAGAGCTCTCGCCCAGGCCGGCCACGGCACCTGAGCTCGGCACCCTGGCGGAGGCGCTCCTCCGGGCCCTCGTGCCGGCACCCCGGGCATCCACGGCCCAGGGTCCTGGCGGATTGGTGGTGGGACGGTGGCATTGGCGGCATCGCCGTGCTCATGTCCAGCTGAGGCCCACATGTGGGGCCTAGGGAAAGAGGCAGGGGCCAGAGGTCCTGGCGGAGGGGAGGAGGGGGGGGGCAAGCAGCCTCGATCTGCTCCACATCCCTGAGACTGCCAGGCCCAAGTGCGCGCGATGACAGTCTCTCGGTGGCGCGCCCTCGAAAAAACTGAGGGGGCCCCGAGGATCGGCCTCGAGGTCAGGTGATGACAAAATCATGAGGGTATAGGAATGTGTCCCAGGCATGTAGGAGAGGGTGGGGGGGGCCTAGTGATCATGGGTAAGAGCGACCTTTGCTGCGCGACTTTTTGGGGGCCGCGTGGGGCCAAGCCTGGGCGCGCAAGCAGCTGCTACTGCTTCGTTTTCAACCATCTGGGGACCCACCCGTGCCCGCACCAAAGGCCACTCCGGCGAAAGGCCACTCTTATACGTCTAGTCGAGGATCGGGGTCCGTGAGGGCCCCAGTGCCCGAGGCGGTGCACACCCGCCTGTCGCGGGCGTCGCTGTCGCCGTCGCCGTCGAGACCGCCGCCGCCGCCGCCGCTGCCGCCGCCGCTGCCGCCGCTCTTTCGTCGTCGCCTCTGCCGCCGCCGCCGCCGCCGGGGCGGTGGCCTCGCTTCTCGCCCGGCCCCGCGGGGCCCTGGGCGCCGCCGCCTCTGGGGTCGCCCGCCTCTCGGGGGGCCGGGGGGGGAGAGGAGGGACGGCCGAGGGAAGCGACTCAGGAAAAGGCAAACGACAACGAATCGCAGCAGCGAGAAAGAAACGGGCCGGCCTCTGGGTCGGCTGCCCCTGGGGCAGAGGAAGGGGGGATGTGCTGGCAAAGGTCGCGCAAGTCTGATCGCAAGCATGCGGATCAACAGAACGGCCAGCGCAAGAAGAGGGAGCTCCGGGCGTTGCCAGAGGTGGCCATGGTCCACGGTGATCCCAGCTATTTCCAAGGAAGCCCATGTGGCCTCCAGAGCACCCCTCACGAGGCCTGGAAAAGGCCCGGGAGTTCGAGAACCTGGGGGCAACTTGGGCCAGGAGTATATCCTCCTCCTCTTCTCTCTCCTCCTTCTCCTCCTCTCCTCCTCCTCCTCCTCCTCCTCCTCCTCCTCCCCCTCCCCGACCCCTTCCCCTCCTCCTACCCCTTCCCCTCCTCCTCCTCCTCCTCCTCCTCCTCCTCCTCCTCCCCCTCCTCCTCCTCCTCCTCCTCCTCCTCCGCGAGCGTGCCGCCACGGCCCGCTCCGTCCTGCATCACGCCCGAGGCGGGGTCGGCACCTCACGGGTCGCCGTTGACATGGATGGTGAACGTGGCCAAGAACTGGCCGCTGCCCCCGCGCTCCGGGCTACCAGATCATCGCCAGGAGGGGAAATCCCTTCACCCAGGAACCGCCTCGGCGTCCCGGATCGGCGAGGCTAGCAGCGTGGGTGGTGTCGAAGCGCTCCAGCTCGAGAGTGAACCCGCCGAGGAAGAGCTCACTTCGAGGACGCCGGAATCAGACGAGGACATCATCGGCGTGAGCCGGGGGCGCGGCACCGTCGAGCGGGAGGCCGTGGAAGAAGAGGATGAGGCCGTCGAGGTCGGTGCCCGCTGCCGCGTCACGCGCCCACTGGCCAGGCGGACCGCGGACCGTGCCGCAGCCCCGATGTCCCGCAGCGTCTCGTCCGTGAAGTGCCCGCGCTGTGGATGGTGTTTGGCAATGCGCCACAGGTGCCAAGACGTGGCAGCGCTGAGCAGGCTCTCGACGGATGGGAGAAGGCCCAGCTTGTGCTCCAGCGGCGGGACGGCCGAGCTGCGAGCCGCCGCCTCGAAGGCTATGTTGAATCTCGGGCATTGGGCCACTACGTGCGAAATGTCGTCTTCGCCCGCGGGCACACCCGAAAGGGCATACTCGGACAGGACCGTGTCCTTGCATGCGCCGTCCCGTCGGCCAGGCGCCAAGCCACGTCTTCGTTGCAGCAATCCTCACGCCTGGGGCCATGGTCAGGAGGCGCTCCTGGTGGGCGTCCCAGTCGAGGGAGTTCGCGGCGCCGGCGGCCGTCGGAAACCATTTGGCGATGCGCTCCCTGAACTTTGCTACCATCGTCGAAGGCATGAGGCACTGCATGAGGGTGCGATGGAGCCGCTTCTGGAGCCCAGCCTTCGAGCCGCCGTCGGACTTCCACGGGTGCGCCTCCTCCTCCTCCTCCTCCTCCTCCTCCTCCTCCTCCTCCTCCTCCTCCTCCTCCTCCTCCTCCCCTTTGCGGCAGCGGCAGATGCTTACGCGTCGGCCCAGCGCTTCCGTTATCCGCGGAGGAGATGGGGTGTGCCCACGGGGTCCAGGGCCGGCATGCACGCTGCACACTGGGGCCGCAGGTGGAGCTGCCTGCGTGGAGCTCCCTGGCCGCGTGAGAGGTGCGCCGACACGGGCGGAGGGGCGGCGCGTGCGCACACCCACTGGGGCCGCAGGTGGGGCGCCGCGCGGGGGCACCGCGCGTGCGAGGGGGTGCCGGAGTGGACAGGCGGAGGCGGGGGCAGAGGAGGTGCGGGGGACGGGCGGGGGGGGCGGGGCGTGGCGCCGTGCGCTCAGAGCGACGACCCGGCAGCCGGCAGAGCTGAGCGGGGGCGCCGAGGAGCGAGGTGGCCAGCGTGCAGGGAGCGGGGAGAGCCGGCCCAACAGCGCAGGGGAGGGGGGACACGCGCACAGCTCGCCCTTGGAGGGTCCTCTCTGGCTCCGCATGCGTGCAACAACGATGGGGCATGGATGGGCTGCCCATGGGCAGCAGAACGGCATGCATCTGCCCTCTTCCACAGCCCATCTTCCATTCGGGGAGAGGTACTCTCCCCCCGCCCCCCCCCCATCTCTGAGGTTTGTTGCCCCCCCCACCCCGATGTGGCAGGAGTCATTTTCGCTCAAGATGGCTCCAAAAGCCCAAAAAGGCCCCCGACGCTCTGAGATGGCCCCCAAGATGGCTCAAGATAGCTGGGGATGGTTCTACATGGCTTCCAACATGCCTCCGACAGGCCCCACGAGGACCACAAGACGGCTGCAATAGCTCTCGGAGCCCTCATCAAGACTTCCCTCAGAGGCCCAAACCCTCAAACACCTAAAGGAAACCATATATTCTTGCCTTCTCGCCTTTTCGCTCCCGCTACGGCTTTGCGCCCCAAGAGTTTTCCACGAGGTGATTCTGATGGCCACAGAGGGGGTGGGAGGGGAGGGACCCCCTTCTATTGATCGACGCCGTCCAAGATGGCCACAATAGGCTGTCAAAGGCTCCCAAGCGCCCCCCACGAGGGGTCCCAAAAAGCCTCAAGACCCCCCAAACAAACCAGAATCTGATCCCAAGACCTTCCAACATAGTCCCAAGAGGGCCCGAAGAGGGTCGCGAGAGAACATCAAGATGACTCTGACAGGGCCTCCAGAAGACCCCAAGACGGCTGAAAGAGTCTTCGTCCACCTCCCCCCCTCCTTGTTTGTCCTTTTCCTCCTCGCCCTCCTCTTCCTTCTCCCCGTCATCCTTCTCCTCCTCGTGCTCCTCCGCTGATCCCAGTGGTGTTCAACTGCATGATTCTGCACTGTCCTGATCAAGGCAACTCGCCTGGGCATCGTTTCTGGATGGGCTGGTAGGGATGCGCAAAGCGTCAAGAATATCAATATCTATCAATACCTGCTCGTGCTTATGATTATGCCCACGAACCATCTGCCGCATCCACAACCCTACCAATTTGCTCAATGTTTCAAGAAAAAACACATACGTGACTCTCGGCGTGAAGAATACGGATCAATCGCGAACTGATTACTCGCGTGAAACCCCACGGCCCTACTTACCCAATACCGCAACTGCAAAACCAACATGCGAAACCATCCCCACAAAATACGGGGCGATTGTGACCCACTGCAATCATCCTCGATAATGAATCGTCAAACGGAAAGTGTGGACATCACAAGTCAACTTTGCTTTGCAATAGAACGATCGGACGGTGAAGTTATGGCGCAGCTAGGGGAATCCAGGAGTGATTAGTTTAGTGCTTGAATGCATAATCTGCGCGATCTATGTAACATGTGCTGGTGAGGCTACGAATGTGTGTACGTAGGAATGTGAGCATCCATGCAACATGTATGTACACAAGCATGTATGTATGTACGGATGTACGTCGTACAGGCGCACGGATACAATACACGTAGGTGCGAATGCCGCATCACATTCAAATCAAACCGTAAGATCTGATCTTCAACCTTAATCTAGAACGTGCGGGTTAACGCCTCGGGGCCCATGCGAAGCAAACGCATGACACATCCCCATTTTGTTATCCCAGGAGGTAGCACTCAAGTCGATTGTCAATCGAATGCACCTGAACACGAGACCATACTGTAGTGGACACCCGTCCTGGAGGAAAATTTGACTGTCAATCGCTCGATGAAACCGCGCCCGTTTGCTGCAAACGCTCCTGGGCCGTGCCTGCCTGAAGACCGGAAGGTGGCTCTCAGCCCCCCCGCTTCTGGAAGCCTGCACACCAAAGAGGATCCTGACAGCCGACCGGCCTGGCTGAGCCTGTGTGAGGGCAGGAGCAGACTCGGAAGTGCCAGCGCTCGAGAACCAACACGCAGCGCACAGACATGGACCTTCGGAGCCCCGCGCGGACTTCTTGGGTCGGCGCGGGAGGCGCCGACAAAGGGGTCCAGCGCCGATCCCAGAAATCCGCGCGGCCCTCTGGAGACGCACGCCGATGCAATGTGTTGCTCTTCGAAGGCTGCACAGTCGGGGCGCTGAAGGAGGAACCCTTCTCGTCGAGGAGGGGCTCCGTGCTCCCTGATTGTCTCGCAGCTTGCCTCAGGTTTGCCTCAGATTCTCGATGCGAAATCGAAGTTCAACTTGCGGAAAAAAGGGGCCTCGTTTAGAGGCCTCCTAGATGGGGTCCGAGTAGATGGGGTCGGAGGATCGCGCCGCATCGCCGATACATCGGCGATGCATCGCCGATGCATCAGCCATGCATCGGCCATGCACCAGCGACGTCGGCGACGCATCCGCGACGTCGGCGTGGGGAAAATCGGGCCCTGCATCGAGCCGCATCGCCGATGCATCGGCGATGCGGCGCGATCCTCCGACCCCATCTACTCCGACCCCATCCAGGACGAAGAGGAGGAGGAGGAGGAGGAGGAGGAGGGAGAAGGGAGGGGGAGGAGGGAGGAGGGGGAGGAAGGGGAGGAGGGGGAGGAGGAGGAGGAGGAGGAGGCCTAGATCGTTCCTGATTGAGGGCTCCTTACGTCAGCGCCCCGACTGCGCGGCCAGGAACTGCTGCTCCAGCGTGCCGCTGCGGCGGCCCCAGCCGCACGCCCCGTGCCCCGCAGGCGGACGGCGCGCCGCTCCGCTCCGCGGGGAGCGGGAGGCCGGCTAGCGCTCGGGACACGGAGGGCCCGGGGACCGGGCCGTGGATAGCGTTGGGAGGGCCTGCTTTGCACCACCACCACCACTCCTCCTCCTCCGCCTCCATCACCACTTCTCCTCCTCCTCTCCTCCTCCTCCTCCTCCTCCTCCTCCTCCCTCCTCCTCCTGGTCCTCCTCTTGGTCCTCCTCCTCCTCCTCCTCCTCCTCCTCCTCCCCTCCTCCTCCTCTTGGTCCTCCTCCTCCTCCTCCTCCTCCTCCTCCTCCTCCTCCTCCTCTTGTCCTCCTCCTCGTCCTCCTCCTCTTGGTCCTCCTCCTCCTCCTCCTCCTCGTCCTCCTCCTCCTCCCCATCCAAACTTCTGGCGGCGGTGGCGGAACACAGGCCCGTCAAGCGTGCCGTGCCGAGGTGTGGTGGGCCAGCGCCGGCGGAGCGGCACGCGGAGCCAAAGCTCCTGGCCGCGTGGGCAGTCGCTCCGCGCTGCCGCGGAGGTGCCGCGCCGGCGCGGGGCACGCCCACGAGGAGACGGCGAGCGCGGCACGCCCGCAGGGCTCCACCCAGACGAGCGCCCGCCCCCCCCGTGGGCCCCCCGAGGACCGATGGGGCACTGCGGGCCCAGGTCGCCGTCGAGACCGGGAGGGGGTCCCCGCAGGCGCGGGGGGGAGGGAGAACGGGATGGGGATCTGAAGCTGCGCCTTCGGGGGGCCTTGTCTGTCCCCTCGCGCCGCTGTCTCCGCGTCGAATCCGCTTCGAATCAGCGTCGAGCGCGTCGGGTCCGTGCCCAATCCACGTCGAGCCCGCGTCGGGCCCGAGGAAAGGCCGCAGTTTGCAGGGCAGGCGAGGGCCCCCGAAGCTGCAGCGCAGGGGAGGCGGGAAAACGGAAGGGAAGGGAGGGCGCCCCTTCCCCGTCCTCCTCCCTCGGCGTGTAAGGCAAGGATGTGTTCCCTGAGCATCGTTTAACTGATCGCTATCCCCACTGGCGTGGCCTGGGCCTCACTGGCCCATTTACCCCCCCAGATGGGGTTACAGGCTGTTCCCTTCGAGTGTCGAGGTGCATGTCCCCAACTGGGGTGGTGGGATGGTGGGGGATCGGGAGGAAGATGGGGATAGGGATCGGTTGATAGAAACTGATTCTCTCCGCTGTCTGGGGCCCTCACCGGGAAAGCTGCTCGAGTCTAGGTTGAGGCACCGGACTCCGCCCCGAACGGAGGACATCCTTATGAGGGAGAGGGAGGGAGGGAAAGAGAGGGAGAGAGAGAAGGAGAAAGAAAGAGGGAGACCGTGATAATCACTTACTCTCTTGCTTGTTCGCGTCCTCGATGGCTGGGGATAGACTCACAATGCTCTTCGGGTCCTTGCCCTCGAAGGCGATCTGGTAGATGGTCGTGAACAGGGGCAGCCGAGAGGTCAGTTTGTGGGCCTCGATGATCGGCCAGATCTCCTGCGCCGTGAGCGTGCCCTGCAGCTTCTGGCCTCCGAGGAGCTCCTTCTCGATGTCAACCCAGCCCTTGCCCCCCGCCTTCACGAACGCCTCGGCACACTTGCGGTTGCGCCCCCCGAAGCAGGTCGTGATGAGATCGGCGACGCCGCAACTCTCGAGGAAGGTGCTGTCCTTCACCGACGGGTGGAAGTGCCGGATGAAGGTCGTCATTTCCTCCAGTCCGATCCGGATGATGGCCGCCTTAGTGTTGCTGCCGAACTGCAAGCCGTCGCAGAAGCCAGCTCCGAGGGCCACCACGTTCTTGAGGGCGCCGCAGAGCTCAACGCCCGCGATGTCCGACACCGCCCGCACTCGGAAAGTGGCGCAGTCGAACAGCTTGACGAGGAGGTTCTGATCCTTCTCTGGCGCGTCAGTACCCAAGGTGGCCTCGCAGAACTGCTCATCGGCGACCTCGTTGGCCACGTTCGCACCCATGAGCACCGAGACGTTGTGCTTGAGCAGCTTGCGCAGCACGTCCGAGCACAGGCCCATCTTGCCGCCCTCGAGCTCGAGACCGCCCTTGATGAGGCTGACAGACATTGCGCCCTCTTTGACTGGGCCCATGCTCGAGACTGTCCTCGGCACGAACTGGTGCGGCAATACCCACACATAGATGTCCGCTCCCTCCGCGGCCTTCTTCAGATCAGGCTCGGCGCGGATGTTGTCTGGCAGCACCTTGCCTGGTAGGTACTTGACGTTCTCTTTGGACTCGTTGAACACCTCGGAGAGTTTGCGTTTGATACCACGGTGCTCCACCTGCTCCTCGAACATCCACATAGTGACCTCGTTTTGGAATTCGTCGTGGCGCGCGCAGTTCTTGGCGATAATCTTGGCGATGGCGCAACCCCAGTTGCCACTGCCAACCACGGTGACCTTCTTGGCAGCGCTCATCCTGGAGAAGAGGGTGTCCCTACGCTAGCCAATGAACGGTCCGAGGTCGAAATGAGCCTCGACCAGGAACGGCTTGAACCAAAACCTTTAATGATACGGCCACGTGGATACCAAATGGAGACTCAGCTGGAGGACCGTGTCATCCCACAATGAATAGTGATCCCTTGGGTGCCCGCAGTATACCCCACCATTTCATAAGAAATGGCAAAACCCGTGGGAGCCGAGCACTGCCAGGAAGATCCAGCAGGGCACCCCTCCCGCTCCCCGCCCGGACTTGTGTATGCGCCCCCGAGACCATAAAGTCACATAAATTACTAAATAGTCGCGCCCCCGAAACCATAAACTCTCGTAAATTGCACAGTAATCGCGTCCCCGAAGCCACAACTCCTCTTAAATTACGCGATAGTCGCGTCCCCGACGCCATAAGCCCTTTTAAATTACACCATTCTCGCGCCCCCGAGGCCATAATCCATCGTAAATTATATAATGTTTGCGCCCCCGAGGCCCCGAAGTCATTATCCCTCGTAAATTACGCACTCGCGTCCCCGAAGCCATCAACCATCGTACATTACATCATATTCGCGCCACCGAAGCCATAAACCCTCGTAAATCAATATTGGCCCTCGCGTGAAGTCCCGACATTGTGTCACGTCAACGCCCAAGACGTCCCAACGCAGCCCTGGCAACTCTCATTCTAAGAGGGGGGGGGCCGGCGGCATGGGGGCGAAGCCCTTACGGACATCTGTCACCCTGCCCTTCCCGCCCATCCCATTCCAAGTGTGCAGATCGGCCATCTATCCGCCGACGGGCGTCCCAAAGGACTGGGATCCCCCGGGTGATCCCCATCGCGCGACGCCCAATCAGACACAAGGGAGTTATGTTGACAAGCGGGGGGTGGCGCATGAGCAGGAGGAGCAGGAGGAAGAGGAGGGAGAGGAGAGGGAACAGCAGGAGCGGGAGGCGCAGGAGGGCCGGGGACAGGCGGAGGGAGGGGGGGCCAGGACGCGCCGGTGTCCGCAACCTGGCAGAGCAGCAACGGAGGCGTTCGAAATTTACGAGGCAGCACTCGAACTGCACAAACCGCTGCACCGCGGTGCCATCTCGCCACATGCCGCAGAAGCAAGTGCGCACATAATCCGGCAGTGGACCAACTAATTGATGCACAACGCCTCCACCTGGGCAGGTCCAGTATAGCTTTTAAAGCGGGCGTCTGCCTGGCATGCGGGGGGTGCAAATCCTGCCCAACAGGTGGCGCGGTACCACCACCGCCCGCTATGTGTCATAACGAACACTCTTGACAAATTCCATGTTGCGCGGGTATGTGTTCCGTGCTCGGGCGCATGTGCCCCTCCCTGGGTCTTGGCATGGGACCACGTTCGAGGGAGTTGTACCCGAGACCAGAAGGTCGACCCGAGAACCATGGAGATACGCCTCACGCTCATGAGAACATGATACACCACGACGCGTGTAGGGAAGACATACAACGACAATCGCGTTGGAATGGAACGGCCTAGAGTGGACGATAACGGAAGTGCTTGCAGCGAGGATGATGAAAAGCGCGGGAAAAAATAGATCGGCAGTGTTACATGTGACTCTCATCTTGCTCGTGGCGGCTTTTCATGGACCTCTGGAGGGATACAAGACCAATCAAGTGCCTTCGTTCAATGACACCGTCAGGCGAGGCCAAGATGCACAGATCTATTTGCGTGCCAAGAATGGTTCTATTCCTGCCCAAAATGATCGAAACACTCCGATCATGATAATGATAGGATTTGATATTTGAAAAAAATAACGGCCCCATATTCAGAAATTCCGCGTTTGAATTTAGTATACCGGCTCCTGCTCTTACTCAAGGATGTTTTGTCTTGTTTTGGCTAGGCGGCGAGATTTGGCTAAATGAACTTAACTTGTTCAATCAATTGTTTTAAGAACGCGCGTTCATTCATTATCATAACCGATGTTTCGGGGGTTGCTGGAGGTGCCCCTGGCCCCAGGTGCCCCCAGCTTTTCGCTCAATTTTGGAGCCCCTGTGGCCCTCTGGGCCTTGTGAGGGGTGCTCTGGAGGCCTTGGGGGCCTCCTTGGAAATCCTGGGGGCACCTTGGGCCAGGGGCACTTCTAGCAACACCCGACTGTTAGCCGGTGGCAAAACGCGAGAGGGGGAAAGGAACTGGGCGACAACGACGAGGCAAGAACGGGACCCACCATGTGGCCCGCGCCGGGGCGAGAGCGCCATTTCTCAACGGCGGGAGCACAGCGCCCCGGTCGCCGGATGAGGCCAACGCTGCAGCGGGGGACACCATTTCGAAACACCAGAGACCAACAGGTTCCGAGCGGGACAGCATATAGTGAACAGCACCTCTTGGAACCCTGTGAGAACAAAAACACATTGCGCGGGAGTGGCTTGGCCATGGCGAGAGAAGTTCTGGAGGGAGGGGAGTCGCAAGAATTCAGGTTCGGCACCGGTTGGGGTCTGAAGTTTGAGGGCGGACAAGGGGGAGGAATGGAGGACGCACGAGGGGGGGAGGAGGGAGAAGGACGGGAGGAAGGGGGAGAAGGGAGAGCGGGGGATGAGGGGGGGAGGAAGGTCGGGGTAACTTAGGCAGGAGAGATCTATGTTGGTGTATGTCTATACGTGTATATACATGTATACATGCACATATATATATATATATATATATGCATATATATTTATGTACATATATATATATATGCGTATGTGTGTGTGTGTCGCCGCGCTGTTTGCTCTCGACGCGCCCAAGTGGACGAAACCGACACCACGGCAAACCCACGGCAAACCCTGCGCCCCGCGCCCCAGATAGACGCAGCCAGCACCGCGGCACCTCCCAGGGCGAACCCACCGCGCCCAAGGCGGCGTTTGCCCCGGTGGCCGCGGCGCCCTCCCCATCACGTTGGAACAGACGGCACGGCGACATGTATATATAGATGCACCTATGCATATATATATATATGTATACAGCATAGATGTATATATGTATGTGTATACAGCATAGATGCATACATGTATGTATACTTACATGCATGCGCATGTAAATACTCAGACATATACTCATACACAAACATGCGAACATACACACATTACATGTTACCTGCGTACATAGATATATCGACAGAAAGCGACAGAAAGAGAGGGAGAGAGAAAGAGAGAAAGAGACACAGAAAGACAGAGAGAGAGAGAGAGACCGCGCGCACGGAGGAAGGCATGAGAGAGGAGGACTGGGAGCATGCCAAGCAGCGGCAGCAGCACCCGTCTTGGCTTCCGCACGGCCCTGGCATGCCCTTTTTCCCGCGTCTCGATATACCACCGCCTGGGGAGCGGGGAGAGCTGAGGAGCAACGATGCAGCCCACCAGTATAAGAAGGACGCACGATAAGGATGCAAGGGCCTTGGAATGCCATGCCAGCAGATTGCAAGCGGGGCGCGGCCAGCGAGAGCGGCCAAGGATGGACTGAAGGGGAAGGATGCAAGGGTAAGCATGAAAAGTTGCTCATCCTTACAATGCGGGCTGACTGTAGGGGGGACCAGCTCAGGCGGAGAAATGTCGACTTGGATTCGGCGATACATCGCCGATCAACCGGCGACAGGCCCCCGACAGCCAATCCGCGCGCTCCTGGGCGGGATGGGCTCGTCGGTCCCCGGTCGGCGATGAGTGGGCGATTGGGAGTCGATGCAGCTTTCCCTGAGCCTATCCCCCCTTGCCCTGGAGGTAAAGCGAAACGCCCCTACTGGGCGCGGTGCGCGACTCCGTCGCTGCCCTGCTCGGCCACCGCGCGGCGCAGCGCGGGTCACCGCCGCTCCCCCTGCGCAGAGCGGATCCAACCGTGCACCCACCGTGCCCAGCCAGTGCTCATCGTCCTGCCGGCTACACGCAGGAGTGACCCCGGGCAAGAGTGACCTCTGGTGCGCGCGGCTTCTGGGGGGCCGCGGGGGGGCCAAACACGAGCGCGCAAGAGGCCGCTACCGCATCGCGTTCCGCGATCGGAGGACCCGAGTGGGCCCGCGCCCAAGTCCACTCCGGCGAAGGGTCACTCTTACGTATAGTCGACCATCGTCCTGCGCCCTGGCATGGCGAGTAGGAGGAGGAGGAGGAGGAGGAGGAGGAGGAGGAGGAGGAGGAGGAGGAGGAGGAGGAGTCACTCTTACGTGTAGTCCACCATCGTCCTGCGCCCTGGCATGGCGAGCACGCCCTCCCGGCGCCGAGGCCAGCAGGGTCCGGCGGCCGGGGTGCCCCCGGCTGGGCCCGGCGGTGGTGTGCAGCGGCCCCCCCTGCGGACCTCCTCCGCGCACTCCGCCCCCGCCGCCCGCGGCGAGCTGGCGGCAAGGGGGGCGCGGCAGCGCCCAGCCCGCGCGGCCCCTCCCGCCGGAGAGCTCACTGGACCTTATGGGCCGCCCGCGGGGCCGACCGCGCCCCGCCCGAGCAGGCGAACGAGCCACGCCCACGAGAGCTCGGCGCGGGCCCCCGCGCCCGCCGCGCGGGCCACCGACACGGGCTCCATCCGGAGGGGCCGGCGGATGCGACGACGGCCTCGCGGCCCGCGATCGCCCGTGCAGTCCGAACACGAGGGCGAAGAAACGCCAGAACCATGAACTCTTGGCGCTCCGCGCCGGATTTCTTGGATCTGCGCCGGGCCCCCCCTGGCGCGCGCGCCAGGGGCGGCGCCAGAGGCGCCGCTGGGGGGGCCCAGCGAGGATCCAAGAAATCCAACGCGGAGCGCCAAAAGTTTCTGTTGAGGGCGTTTTTTTTGTTCCTCGAGACCACTCCGATCGCACGACGGGCCCCAATCGCCGATCAATGGGCGATTGGGGGTCGATGCCCGGGTCAGTAGGGTCGAGGGCAGGACCTGGCGCCCGCTCCTCCCGCTTCCCGCTGCTTCGGCAAGGTGAGCGTGGAGTGTTTCTCCGAAGGGCTTGGGCGACCCGTCCTCCGAACCCGCCTCCTCCCCCTCCTCCTCCCCTCCTCCTCCTCCTCCTCCTCCTCCTCCTCCTCCTCCTCCTCCCCCTAGCCTCCTCCTCCTCCTCCTCCTCCTCCTCCTCCTCCTCCACCTCCTCCTCCTGCTCCTCCTCCGCCTCCCCCCCCTCCCTCCTCCTCCTCCTCCTCCTCTCCTCCTCCTCCTCCTCCTCCTCCTCCTCCTCCTCCCCTCCTCCTCCTCCTCCTCCTCTCCTCCTCCTCCTCTCCTCCTCCTCCTCCTCCTCCTCTCCTCCTCCTCCTCCTCCTCCTCCTCCTCCTCCTCCTCCTCCCCTCTTCTCCTCCTCCTCTCCCCCTCCTCCTCCTCCTCCTCCTCCTCCTCCTCCTCCTCCTCTTCCTTCAAACCCCCTTGTGCCCATCCCTCCCCCCGTCGCTGCCTCCGAGAGGGCGACCACCCCGATCGCACGACCGGTGTGGCAGCCGCGGCGGCCGATGTGGCCCGAGCGGCCGCCACCGAGCGCCTGCACCCAGGGGTGCTGCAGCGCCGCCGCCGCCGCCGGGCGCCGGGCGGGGTCCTGGCGCGGCGGCCGGCCCGCCGCGCCCGTGCAGAAGGCCACGGGGAGGCAGAGGCGGCAGAAGATGCGCAGGCGATGGGCCCAGTCTCCACCACCACAGCCATGGGCAGGAGAGGGAGGAGGAGGAAGAGGAGGAGGAGGAGGAGGAGGAGGAGGAGGAGGAGGAGGAGGAGGAGGAGGAGGAGGAGGAGGAGGAGGAGGAGGAGGAGGAGGAGGAGGAGGAGGAGGAGGAGGAGGAGGACCTCATCATCCTCCCTTCTCCCCCGTGCTACATGTGGTATTGGTGGTGGAAAATTTGCCTATCAGTAGGGAGAGGGGGCCTCCATGCTATTACCCAGCCTCAACAGAACCCGAGCGTGACCAGGTCTCGGTGTATCTAGTCTCCCGGCGCGGCCGGGAGCCGATCTACGCTCAGATCTGGGCCAACACGGGCCTGTGGAGGCTTAATAACGGTATATCCGCCACCGCTCTTGCGCGACAGCTGAGTGGTAATGCCCGCCCGTCCTGGAACGACTGAAAGACACCCGAAGACCATCCAAAGGCGGCCCAACGAGCCCCCGATGGCTCCGAGGTCTCCCAGAGACGCCCCATGACATGCCCAACCAGACCTCCACAGAGGCCCTCCGAGGCGAACATCCTTGAACATACGCTGGATATCACTGTGCAATATTTGATTACGAGTCGTTGCAGATTGAGGTCGCCTCGAGCAACCATCAAACAGCCTCAAGAACCCGCCAAAACGGCCGGAGGAAGCCCCAGGAGAGCTCCACGCTGAACATAGACTGACGCGAGAATCCCCCAGGATCGCCCAAGACCGCCCCGAGAGGCATCCAACACGGCCCAAAGACCAGACCCGTCCAGACGCCCCTGGAATGGTTCAAACGAACCTTGTCGGGAGAGCCCTCCCGAGACTCCAAGAGGGCCCCCCTCAAGGCCCCCATAGTGGTCACGAGAGGCCACGAGGAAGCTCCCAGGCCGCCGAGGGGGAGAGCCAGGCGGCGGACAGGGAGGGGGCGGTCACAAGAGGGGCCCGACCACAAGACGCTTTCCACAAGAAGCCCAAGCCTGAGACCCCAGGACGTCCATGGATGATTGACACTCGATGTGTGAGCGTCACGCTTTACGTAGCAAGACCATCGAAGCCCAGGGAACCCAGGGCACCCTGGAGGTAGGCAAGGTGTTTCTTGGCCCATGGCCGCCCCAATAGTGCACTTTGAGGACCGCCTCCTCCTCGGCAGGATGCAACAGCACCTCTCCTCCTCCTCCTCCTCCTCCTCCTCCTCCTCCTCCTCCTCCTCCTCCTCCTCCTCCTCCTCCTCCTCCTCTCCCACTGCAAAACTGGCGCTAGCCCAGAAAGGGCACGCGGCACGCAACGGGACCGGGTGCGAAAACCTCCGCACCCTTCCTTCTGCGGCGCTGCTGCGCCGGCGCGGCGGCGGAGCTTGCCGCCAGGCAGTGTTCGACGTCCTGGCTTTGCCTGGGAGGCTCCGCTCGGCTACAACTATGAAGGGGCCCTGGGACACCCAAATAAATACACACAAATAAACAGATTCCCCATATTTTTCAATATTTTCTGGGTTTTTGTCTTCCCCCCCACTTCCCATATTTTCCCATATTTTCCTGGGAGACGACGATTAATTGTGTCTGTGTTTTTTCCCTCCTGAAACTAGCCCGCCTCCCCGAGTTTCCCGCGTCGTGATCCTTGTTCACGGCGTACAATAGGGGCACGACCACAAGAAACCTTCCACGAGAAATCCAACCCTGGGACCCCAGGGCGTCCATCGATTTCTGGTGTGGGGACGTCACGCTCTCCACAGCAAAACCATCGAAACCCAAGAAACCCAAGGGACCACCCTGGAGGCAAGCAGGGCGTTTCTTGGCATGGGTCTCCACTGTAGATTCTGGAGCTCTCAACCCAGTCCACGGGCCCAGCTTCTCGCCGCGGGTCGCGTTGCGGCCCCCTGCTCCGACGTCGACCGCCCCCCTGGAGGCCCACACCGCGCCAACTCAGAAGACGCCGCGATCTTATCTCGCGAGGCCTAGAATAGCCTGGGCCTGGCCCTGGGCGGCCAGCCGACCCGCTGGGTCACCAAACTGCGCGCTTCGCGCAATCGACCATCGCGGTAACCGAGGCCCTCCGAGGGGAGCCGCGATGTGCAAAACGCTGTAACCTTTTCCGCTCTCGCGCCGCCCGCTGGGGAAGAACACTCCACCCCAGCACCACCCAGAGGGAGACGGGTCCTGCACCCCAGGGCCTTCCCTGGGACCACCTGCTCATCTGGAGTCGCATCTGCACGGCCACGGCACCCGGGAAGGGCCCGGAGATGCCGAAAAAGGGCCCGGAACTCCAGGACCCCCTTCCCTCGGGACTCATCTTCGTCATGGTGCCCCTCTGGCTCAGACTGCGACGCGCCCCAGAGGGCGGGAGAGAGTGGGGGCCGGGGAAAGCCATCGCCTGGCTGCTCCCGCCCCTCCGAGCATGATCAGCTCGCCATCGTGAGGAGAAGGAACAGGAGGAAGGAGGAGGAGGAGTCGGAGGAGGGATTGGAGTCGAAACGGTGGCGAAACAGCGTGGGAGGAGG